AGGCCTGATGTGAGCTGAAAACCTGACCCACCTTCCAGCAAGGGAGGGTTCCTTCTGCCTGGCTGCCTTTAAATTAGGACATCAGCTTTTTCCTGCCCTCAGATGGGAACTGCATCATTGGCTTTCCTAGGTCTCCAGCTTACTGGATCAGTCTGCAAATCTTGGGACTCATTAGCCTCCATAATTGTGGAGACAGAGGGTGAGCCAATTCTTTGTAACAAATCTGCCTGCTGGGGTGACTGGGTGGTTATGTTGCTGGTCCAATTCTTGATTTCAGGTCAGGTCATGACCTCAGGCCCCAGGTGAAGACTCAGTGGGGAATTTGCTTATCCCTCTCCTCTGCCCCTCCCCCTGCTCTCTCATTTGAGCTCTCTTAAATAAATAAAATCTAAAAAAAAAAAAATCTGCTTGCTTCTCCCTCTCATGCTTTGCTCTATTGCTTGGCAGATGATGTGTTATTTTTTTTTTAACAAGTTGAAGGTTTGTGGCAAACCTGCAAAAGACAAGCAAGTCTTTCCATACCATCTTTCCAACATCATTTGCTCACTTCATGTCTCTGTGCCACATTTGAGTAATTCTCATATTTCAAACTTTGTCATTATTATTATTATTATTATTATTATTATTATTATTAAGTAGACTCCATGCCTACTATGGAGCCCAACGCTGGTCTTTTTTTTTAATTTTTTAATTTATTTATGATAGTCACAGAGAGAGAGAGAGAGAGAGAGAGAGAGAGAGAGAGAGAGAGAGAGAGGCAGAGACACAGGCAGAGGGAGAAGCAGGCTCCATGCACCGGGAGCCCGACGTGGGACTCGATCCCCGGTCTCCAGGATCACGCCCTGGGCCGAAGGCAGGCGCCAAACCGCTGCGCCACCCAGGGATTCCCCCCAACGCTGGTCTTGACCTCATGATACTGAGATCAAGATCAGAGCTGAGATTGAGAATCGGAGTTTTACCTAGTGAGCCACCCAGATGCCCCACTTTATCATTATTATTGTATTTTTTATGGTTATCTTGATCAGTGATTTTTTTTGATGTTACTATTATAATTGTTTTAGGGTACCAAAATAGGATGGCAAACTTAAATGACAAATATTGTGTGTGTTCTGACTGCAGATGGGGTGGAAAGAGCAGGAGAACTAGAATTGGAAGGGGAGCCTGTGGATGGGACTGATTGGCTGCAATCGCATGATAAAACCTGAATGGATGAGCAAAGAAAGTGGTTTCTTGACATGGAATCTATTCCTGGTGAGGATGCTATGGAGATCGTTGAAATGACAGCGAAGGATTTAGAATATTCCAGACACCAATACACTTGAGAGGACGGACTCCAATTCTGGAAGAAGTTCTACCATGGGTCCAATGCTATCACACAGCATCACATGCTACAGAGAAATCCTTCACCAAAGGAAAAGTCCATCGATGAGGCATCATTGTTGTCTTATTTTTTTTAAGATTTTATTTATTATTTATTTATTTATTCATGAGAGACACAGAGAGGCAGGGACACAGGCAGAGGGAGAAGCAGGCTCTCTGTGGGGAGCCCAGTGTGGGACTCGATCCCAGGACCCCAGGATTACGCCCTGAGCCAAAGGCAGACACTCAACTGCTAAGCCATCCAGGCATCCTGACACTGTTGTCTTATTTTAAGAAATTGTCACAGCCACCCCAACCTTCAGCGCCGCCCCCTCCCCCACCGGTCTGCAGCCACCACCAACATGGAGGCAACCACTCCAGCAGCAAAAAGATTACAACACGCCAAAAGCTCAGGTGATGGTTGGGGTGTTTCAGCAATAAAATATCTTTTCCATTCAGGTGTGTGTATTCTTTTCGACATAATTGCTATTCCATACCCAATAGTATAAACATAACCTTTATATTCATTGGGAAACAAAAAAATTCATTTGACTTGCTTTACTGCAATATTGGCTTTATTGTGGTGATCTGGAACTGAGCCATCGGTATCTCTGAAGTGTGTCTCTCTCTTTCTCTCTCTGCACCCCATTGGCTCTGTTTCTCTAGAAAACCCTAATACACCAAACATACTCTGTCAAATGATTAAAAAATATTCCTACGGATCTCTGAATTTTCCAGGAGGAAATCCCCTTTTGAATGGCCATGCAGAATTCATAAAAAATTATGGATTTTTATTGACAAGAGGGAAATTGAATTTCAATGTTGAAAACCTTCCAGTGCTGAAACACCACGTTTATGGACAAGTGCTCTACCAGTGTTGCTTTATAATTCTAGTACAAATGAATGGCATGACTGAAAAATTTGTAACGTTAACAGCATTATTTGATGGAAGCCTAAGAATGACAACCACACAAGATTAAGAAAAAAAAAAAAGAAAAAAAGCACACAAGGCAATCAGGAGAGACAACTTTCTTGAGGGAAGTCCACCCCGAATGAAGATCCTTTCTTCTTGCTGACACTTACAGAGGTGGGCTTCTGCACTGACTATGGGTCCAGCTTTTTCTCTCTGCCCATACCTCCACCCTACTCTTCCTTTCTGCCTTCTCAAGCTCCTTCCCAGCACTAGAGCTAAACACACACTTCTTCCACCTCCCAACTCCACCTCGCCCTTGACGTGTCCTGTTTTCTTCTGTCCAATACAGGAAGGAGGGTGGAGCTGTGCCTTCTCTGGCAGCCAAACGTCTTGGATCCTTACTTCAGGCTCCACCTCCCACATCATCCACCACCCAGGGTGGACTACACAGCTCTTACCCAGAAGCTGTTTTTCCATCCTAGAAGCTGACCTCATTGTTCCTGGGGCTGGAACCATCCATAAGACACCACTTGCCAATTTAGGAGTTTATAGCACTTCTGCGTTTGTGGCAGAGGAGCCAGGCTATGCCATTGTCTTTTGTCATAGAGATGGCATTAACAACCTCTTGTCCTTGCCTCGGAGCGGACGTGGCTGGAAACACCGAAGTGTGACTTGCCTGTCGCACATGGAGCTAGTCTGCAAATCCATGAGTTCAGGAGCCTCACTGTCATCTATAAAAATTGCCAGAGTGTGCAGCCCTGCTTCCTGTTCTTGCAGGACAGCATGACATTCTGGCTCAGTTGAGCCCCTGTCATGGGTTGCCACACAAACATTGTCTGGAGCTGTCATTTCCTGGCAGTGAACGATTACTCCACATGGCCTCAGGACGTGCTCACAGTGTCCTCCTGGCATCTGAACCAATCTTCAAAAAAGCAAAGGTAGGGCTAGAGTCAGTCTTTTGGAGAAGATGGGCAGGAACAGAGTGTGGCTTATTGGAAACAGCAAATAGGGTCCCAGGAGCACAGCTAAGCTATTCTTCTAAAAGAGGAACTGGCCTCCACCCTCTCACCACCTACTGGTCCCAACCCTAATGTGTCTTCCTGTCCCTTCCCTGCCTACCACCGAGGAGGGGAAGGTGGCAGAAGTTGTCTGTTTTCATAGTCATGGACACAACTGTGTCTGCTGGACACCACTGTATACTCTCAGCCACCCAGTGAATCAGCTATGTTTCTAGATTTTTCTCTACTGATGTGTCTTTGGCCGTAGCCCTGACTTTAGGGTTCTTAGTTTCCGAGCTATTTAAATGAATTTTGAAAGCATCAATCCAAGTTGAATTCTGCATTTTTAGGATATAAAGTAGTTCTACTGCTCTGCTGCGAAATAGATTTCTTCGGATGTACATTGGGAATAATTTGACTACCTAACTTAGTAATTCATCGCATATCCAATTAATATTTATTTGACTTCTACCCAGTGTACATCATGGTGCTGTGGCTCAGTGTAAAAGTTTGAGAACGCCTTATATATTGCTTGCTCAGTAAATATCTATCTCTGAAAATACAATACTTAGTAACAAGTTATTTCCTATTTTAAATGGCAACGCCTGTTCAATACTTAGAATTTTTTTAATAACAGGGATTTAAATGCAACAGAGATAGCGAACGATTTCATCCGGACATGAAGCTTTAGGAGGATGAGACGCCAGGCTAATACTAAATGACGTTGACTTTCCTAACTAACAAGGACTAATTAAAGTACAAATCACCGAAGGAAAAATGTTGTGTGAAGCTCAACTGCTCTTTTGTCTGGTTTCTCGTAGGAGGGGAAGCCCTCAGCCCTTTGAAATAGCCATTAAAAACAAACAAACAAAACAACCCCAAGAAAGAAGAAATCGTGCGTAAACAAAGAGGCCTGGGGCTGGGACCCCCGGAGGCGGCTCGCTCCGGGCCGAGGCGGACAGAGCCTGCTCGGGCTGCACAGGGTCGACTGCAGGGCCTGCCTGCGCCCCGGGCACCGCGGCCCCCGCGCTCCGGGCAGCTCCCGGCGCTGCTGGCAGCCCCCCGCCCCCGCAGGGCGAGTGAAGCCCAGACCACCGTCCGAATCCCCACCCCCCAGGCCTCGGCATCCCAGGTAGCGGACGTGGCCTCTCCTCGGCCGAGTGCAGTCCCAGCGAGAGCAGAGGCTGCGGGCCGGCGCCCCCGCCCCAGGCCCAGGCCCAGGCCCAGGCCCAGGCCCAGGCCCAGGCCCCCTCCCCGGCGGGAGGAGGAAGCAGGCACTGCGCGCGGCCAGCAGAGACCAGGGAGGAGGAAAAGGAGGAGAGCCCCGGCGGCCGCTCCGGGGCCCGGGCCTAGGAGGCCTCTCCGCGCTCGCGAGCGCAGCTCCTTCGAGCTCGACCCTCCGCGACCCCAAGGTAACCGGTAACCGCGCGGGGCCAGGGACTCGGCGGGACCACCGCCTTACCGCGCGCGGCCAGAACGCTCCCAAGCCGGCCCCGCGCCAGCCTTTTATACGCGGTCCCCCGAGCCCCGCCCCAGCGGCGTTTCCTAGCAACGCCTCGCCCTCGCGCGGCGCTGCCTTATCGGCCGCCGCCAGCCCTTCCTGTTCCCCTCCCCCGCCTGCGCGGCGCGGGCCCCCGGCTCACGTGACCGGCCCCAGGGGAGGGGGGAGAGGCGGGGCGAGCGGAAGCGGAGGGGCGGGGCGCGGAAGGCCTCGTGACGCCATCCAGACGCGCCGAGGGAGTGGCGGCGGCTGTCCCGGGAGCTGGAGGTCCGGGAGCTCGCCGAGATGGCGGAGGCCGCGCCGCTGGTGTGGGTTCGCGGCCCCGGCTTCGGGTGCAAGGCGGTGCGCTGTGCCTCGGCCCGGTGGTCCGTCCAACAAGTGGTCCGCCGACACTGCCGGGATCAGGTGAGGTCGCGCTTCCTGGCGGGCGGGATGGGGTGAGGAGCCGGCCGGCCGGGGCCGCGCCTCTGCCTCGGGGTTCTCGGTGTTTGAGTCTGAGGGCTCCCCAGCTTTGAGGGGCTTCACACTGATGCTGGGGCCTTGCTTGCTTTCGTGTCGGGGGTGGCGGAAGGGGCCGCAGCTCCGCGGCTCGCCGGTGCTCGGTCCCGCTCCGGGTGGGCGCACGGGGACCCTGGGCCCGCTGTCGGATGACTTGTCGGGCTCCTCTCTCGTGTTCCGTGCATCCATCCCGGGCTTGTAGGACGTGCATGTCGTCCACTGGTCAGCCCCGTTAGCTCCGACCTAGAGGAGCGTCTTCACACCCGGGCCTGGGCCGGAGGATGGCGGGTGGGGCGGGGGGCTCCTCCGGCTCAGGTCGGGGCCGAGCGCGCACACGCGCGTCCTGTCCTTTAGGTGTTTCCACGGATCATCTGAAGGCCACATGTGTCCGTACATGTTTCTGAAAACCTGCCGTGGACTCCCAGAGTTACCTGTGTGGTTGAGTGAAGTACCCAGTAAGCGAGCTTCCACCAGCCGTGAGACGTCACACCTGTTCGGTTATCCAAACAATTTGGTGGTCTCCCCGAATCTAATTTTAAATTTGGCACTTGACCTACTAGTCTGTTTTTCTTTATAACCTCACTTTATCCGTGTTTCTCCAGGCTCGCTTCTCTGCTTGTTATTTATAGGCTTACAACATGTTAACACTGCACTTTAAGCCGAATCTTTATTTGGACCGGTTCCATGAAAAAGCAACCCGTCTTTGCAAATATGTTTTTCAGCTTCCCCATGTGTGTTTCCACACTACAGTGGAGTCTAAAAACTGTCAGAACTGTTTTTGACCATCTGGGTAGGGGAAATATTTTACAAAGTAGATGGATTTTAATATCTCTGAAAATAAGCCTTTATCTCAACGACTGTGGGTCCAAAATGACCAGAAAAAAAATAGGATCTTGAGAGAAGTATTGGAAAAAATATTTAATTTTTTTTTTTTTTTTTTTTTTTGTTCATCATGAGAGTAACAGAGAGAGGCAGAGACATAGGCAGAGGGAGAAGCAGGTTCCCTATAGGGAGCCTGATGTAGACTTGATCCCAGAACCCTGGGATCACGACCTGAGCCAGAGGCAGATACTCAACCGCTGAGCCACCCAGGTGCCCCAGAAAAAAATAATTTTAAAATACAAGGAAGAAATATAAATGGATGCTTCAGTCAGGTGCTCAAGAGATAGGACCATAACATATGTGAACAGAAACAAGAAATTTACAAAAGGGTATCCTGTGAGATACTGGAAGAAATTAAAATAGCTCAAGTTCACAACATTTTTTTTTTAATTTTTAATTTATTTATGAAAGAGAGAGGCAGAGACACAGGCAGAGGGAGAAGCAGGCTCCATGCCCCGGGAGCCGGACGTGGGATTCGATCCCAGGTCTCCAGGATCGCGCCCTGGGCCGAAGGCAGGCGCCAAACCGCTGCGCCACCCACGGATCCCCACAACATTCTTTTTAAAACAAAATTATTCTGATGGGATGAGGTCAGTGTTGTGTCCACTGAAAAAGTATAAATCTGCCCTGCTGTTCTTCAGGCTAGGATAAAAGACACAAATAGAGCCAACTGCCAAGTTAATAGGAAACAGTATTTCTCTTGACATGGTGCAGTTGTAAAATGTTACAATGACTCTCTTGGAAGTGTGCTGCTTTCTGATTCACTAAGAAACATTGATCTGGAAAATTACAGACTACAAGGGTCTTTGCTGTTTGAAATTTTATCAGTGAAGATTAAACATCCCGCTCTTGCCTTGAGACTAAGTCACTTTTTTTTTTTTTTTAAGATTTTATTTATTTATTCATGCGAGACAGAGACACAGGCAGAGGGAGAAGCAGGCTCCATGCAGGGAGCCCGACATGGGACTCGATCCTGGGTCTCCAGGATCACACCCTGGGCTGAAGGCAGCACTAAACTGCTGAGCCACCAGGGCTGCCCTCTAAGTCACTTTGATACAGAGACAGCATGCTTGATTTCCAGCCCAGGTGCAGAGAGTCAGATTAGGAGTTTCTGAACACAACATTCCACGTTTATCTTAACTTTGTGGTTTCTAAGGAAACGGGGGTCTGGATCCAATCTGCTTCACAGTCTAGACCTGATGTTGCCCCTTTTACATAGCTCTGCTTTGTTTTGAGCCCCTCAAAACCACTTTGTTTAAATTCACATAAACCTCCACCCTTGCCCCAAATCCTATACTAATTGTTTTTTTGTTGGTGCTGAGACACTGCACTATTCCTTTTGTCTGCAGTCCCTCCTGCCCCTTCCTTGTTGCAGTGAGCCAGTAAATTTGACTTTGGTGAACTATACATGTATCTCTGGTGGCCTTGAGTTGATTGGGCTGAGATTAGCACAGTACTTTGTGCTTGAAGTAGTTTATAATACACAAATAGTGAAAGACCCTTAAGTTGATTCTAAATTTTCTTTGTCCTTTTTTTCCGCTAGTGATTATTGATAAGAATCTTAACAAGTAGAAAGTGCAATTTTGTTGATCAGTTGTCTTGTTTAATAAGTAGTTCTGTTTGGAAACGAAGTACGGTGTATATAATTTTTCTGCCTTCACATTAATGTCTTTTAAAGTTATTTAGAAAAAAAGGTGTTTAGAATGTTAGAAATACTTACCTGCTAGATAGAAAATAAGAGAAACTAAGGTTGCTTTTCATTCATAAACATAAAACAAACATGAGGTATATTACATATCTCATTTAATCTTGTATAATTCTTTTTTTTTTTTTAAATTTTTATTTATTTATGATAGTCACACAGAGAGAGAGAGAGAGAGGCAGAGACACAGGCAGAGGGAGAAGCAGGCTTCATGCACCGGGATCCCGACATGGGATTCGATCCCGAGTCTCCAGGATCGCGCCCTGGGCCAAAGGCAGGTGCCAAACCGCTGCGCCACCCAGGGATCCCTAATCTTGTATAATTCTTAAAAGCGGACAGTGTTTTCCAGATAATAGACCTTCCTGTTAATTGCATGTAGGCTGAGCTCCTTGGCTCTTCTCTCCTGCTAGCATGTTTGCCTAGGAAAACTCTAGTCAAGTTAAATCTACCTGCCCCCCCCCCCCCCCCCCCCCCCGCCATGCAGGCAGTGACTGTGCTAGGGAAACCAATCTCACAAATCAGTCTGACCGTAAGTTCACAAACACCGACCTTCGTAATTCTTGGCCCTTCTACTCTGTAGTCCCAGGCCAGGGTGGGCTTCCACTGGGTAGAAGGACCGCTGAGAATATTGATCCCTGCAGCATTTGCACAGCTGGGCAGAATCTGGGGGTGCTACAGCAGCTTTGTTCGTTTCCCTGTGTCACCCTGATTGTCTTCTGTACACCACGGTGTGGAAAGATTAGGAAGTAGTGCCAAGGTTCATTGCTCTCACTCTCCTGTGTGACTTTTTGATCTCTTCTCTCTTAAAATCTCTGGTGCTTCTCCCATCTCCAGGCCCGTACTTTATATTTGGTGCAGTCAAGAGACAGAGTCCTTATCCTCACACCAGTGCCCTACCTCGTTGTCATACATTTGGCCCTCTCTTGGTCCATTACTGTGGATAACCAGTCATTACAGATGAGTTGCGATTAGCTTCTGCTTTGCACTGTACCCTGTCTCCTCGACCATATTTAGCATCAGTTCTATCTCCTCTACACTTCCCAGTGCCTTCCCTTTCCCCTGGATCATTCCCACCAGTGTGCACATTTGAGTCCACATTCCTTCCAGATGTCGCCTCCTTTTCTTTCTTTCTTTTTTTTTAATTTTTTTTTAATAGAAAATATCCTTGAACAGAAAACTTCTCTAGAGCCCACTCCAGTCGGGCTTTTGTTCCTGTCACTCCAGCAGACCACCTCCTGTCATGCATGTCAGCATCTTCTGTGTTCTCATACCCGATCATTGGTTTCCAGGCCTCCTCTCTCTTGGCCTGTCAGCATCTTTGGGCACACCCGGACATTGGCATACTTTGCTCACTGTGTCCACACGTCACCCTCAGTTCTCTTCCACCTCATTAACCTCCCTTCCAGTTTCTCCTGCTACTTTCTGCCCGTCTCCTGAGCTCTGAATCATGGATTGGCTGGAGTTGAGTGTTTGATCTTCATTCCAGTGTCTCTTCCGTCATGCAGGACGTATCCTTCATTTTCAGGGCTGTGAGTACCATCGGCGTGCTGACCTCTTCCAAATGTAAAGCTCCAGCCCAGACCTTGTCCCCAAACTGCAGACTTGTGTACCCATCAGGTTACTCAGCATCTTCATGTGGCTATTAGACCACTCAAAGGAACACATCCTGAATGAGACTGGTACCCGAAAAGTGCTTCTCACTCTTAACAAATGGCAACTCTATTTCCCCTTCTCTCATTGCTCTGTGGCTCTCACTGCCCACCTCCAGAGCCTTAGGGCCCCCCACCCTGTTCTTCATCCCCTTTTACCACTACCCCGATACAGATGGCTTTCATTGCTCAACTGGGTTGTCACAGTAGCCGATGTCACTGATGTCTCTGCTTCTATAGTTTTATATCCAATTTAGCAGCTAGAGTGATCCTTTAAGAATATAACTCTACTCTCAATCTGTTCCAGACTCTGCAGTGGCTTTTTTCAGAGTGAAGCCTGAAGTTCTTACAGTGGCTTTTCAGGCCTTCTCATTCCCCTTTGGCAGACTTCTTCCAGCCATGTTGGTGGTGTTACAGTTCCATGAATACCCTTGGCTCGTCTCTGCTGCCTCGCTTTGCATTTGTTTTGCCTCTGAAATGCTCTTCCCCCAGAGAGCCATGTGGCTCTTTCTCTCCCTTTTGTAAATTCTCTGCTAAAATGTCTCTTGATCAGAGAGGCTTTTCTTGACTAACAGTATATGTAAGATAGATTACTGGTGTACCCATCCACATCTGGTGTCCCCTTTACCCTGCTTATCACCACTGGCCATTGTATATCATTCACTTATTCTTTCCCTGTCTTTCCCCAGTAGAATGGAAGCTCTGTGAGCAGGGTCTGTATTCACTGGATTATTCATTACAGTATTACAGTGCTTGAAAAGTACCTGGCAAATAGTAGGGACTTCATTAATATTTGTTGAATGAATGGACGGGTCCTGTTGAAACGGCCATGTGATAGGATTCAGAACGAATGTTCATTGTGTCTACTTCGGAAAGATGGCAGTTGTGCGTTTCTCCTTTCTGTTAGTGTGTAGATCTCCTCATTCCTGATATTATAGGTTAATTGTGTATCTCTCAAGTTCCATATAACTTTGGAGAATACTCTTCCATTGTCTTTTTTACAGCATCGGAAACTTGTTTAGAAAGACTTAGTTTTTTTTTTTTTTTTTAAGATTTTATTTATTTATTCATGAGAATACACAGAGAGGAGAGAAAGAGAGTCAGAGACACAGGCAGAGGGAGAAGCAGGCTCCATGCAGGGAACATGACGTGGGACTCGATCCCGGGTCTCCAGGATCAGGCCCTGGGCCAAAGGCGGTGCCAAACTGCTGAGCCACCCGGGCTGCCCAAGACTTAGGTTTTATATCTTATATTCATCATTTGATATGAGAAAATTTGAAATACACAGATGGGGTTTCTGCTGTAACTTGGGAACATGGGCAGAAAAGTACTGCTGCCCGCTGATCCTCCACCTGTTAAAGCTTATATATAGGTGTACAAAGATCATACTGTCGTCTCCTTCCCTCCCCCTGCTCGTCCTTACCTACACTTTTCAGAAGGTGTATTGTCACTTTTAAACTCGTGCAACTTGATATTACTTGTTTAAAACAAAAACGAGAGAAAAAGGGACTTGCAGAGTTACTGGGTCTGAACCCTGTCTAATTTTCTACCTTGACTCTGTTTTCCTGTCAGAAGAGAAGAGAGCAGTTCTTAATTTTTGCCTGAAAGACAAAAAATTACGCAAATTCTTGTGCGTATCATGATGAGGTGTTAGAAAAAAAGTCATACCCTGAATAAATCCTCTGACATGACTTTTTTTTTCTTTGGGTATTCAGTTCAACAAATACTAATGGAACACATGCTGTCTGCTTATAACTGGAGTAATAAAGACATGATAGGCAAGGCTCCTGCAGGAAGCTTGTGTCGTCTCATTTAAAAATTCCAACCTTGTCTCTAGGCTGTTCCAGTGGAATGCTTTTTTGTGAAGTGCAATGGATCACTCGTTGATGCCAACGACAGAGTGCAGCATGGTGCAGTTTATAGTTTGGAACCCAGGCTCTTCGGTGGAAAAGGAGGTAGGACGCGCATATTTGTGGCTGCCATATATTACAGCTGCAGTCTCTAGCTCTATGGAGGAAATTAACGCACTTCTGGGCCTCTGGAGTATGCCATTCTTATTTTGCCTTATGAAATCCTTTCTTTACTTTCCTAGTTCTGAGTACTTTCTTTTATTCTTTTTGAGGAATATATTGTCTGATTATAATTTTTGCCTTCAGAAGCAGGATAGCTCTTAGGCAGCTAGGTTCTAAAACTTTGGGGGAAGATTAGATGAAGAAAAACGATCATTATTCTGTGCAGCTTGTGGAAGAAAGAGTGTTAAAACAATTAAATCTTCTTCTGCTTTTAGCAAGATTTTGTCTGGTCATTGTAGTTCCCAGAGAGGACTAAAGCCAGCCTGTGTGGAATACAGCCATTTATAGATTAGGGTAGGTTAAGATCCTTGTTACATGAACATTATTCTCTAAGAATAGAGAAGAGAAACTAAAAGAGCAAACACTGAATATGGGCAGTCCTGGGTATTTCTCCTGATGCACTAATGTGTCATCCCAAAGCTTTCTCAGAATTCACAGTGACTTGATTTGGTGTTCAGAGAACTGGCATCGCACATTATAATCATTCTCTTGTTTGAAATTCTGTCAATAAGAAGAAACCTTATTAGCTAGGGACAACTTAAAATTGCTTTTGCTTTGAAACTCACTGCAAAATCTCACCATAAAAAGATTTTTTTTAAGTTATTAATCTTGGAATCTCTGGCATTGGGTTAAACCCTTTAAGATATCCCAGTGGTATAGAGACAGTATTTCAGAAGTATAAGAGGAAGAGCAAAATGCATGAGGTTGAATCAGGTTTATCATTTTTTTTTTAAGATTTTATTTATTTATTCATGAGAGAGAAAGGCAGAGACATAGGCAGAAGGAGAAGCGGGCTCCCTGCAGAGTGCCTAATGCAGGACTCGATCCTAGGACCCCAGGATCCTGACCTGAGCCAAAGCCAGACGCTCAACCACTGAACCACCCTGGCACCCCTGGTTTATCAGTACTTGTACCTTTGATACCTGCGTAGAATCTTGATGTCCCTTTCTTTAAAAAAAAAAAAAAAAGAAAAAAAGATTTTTTTTTTAAGATTTATTTATTTTAGAGACAGTGTGCACGCACAAGCACAGAGAAGGGCAGAGGGTGAGGGAGAGGGAAATTTTAGACTTCTCTTGGAGCCCAATGAGCAGCTTGATCTCGAGACCCTGAACCAAAACCAAGAGTCAGATGCTTAACCAACTGAGCCACCCAGGCTCCCCAAAGAGATCATTTTTAATCTTGAGGTATAATAGCATTTCCACAAATTTGATATTTATCAATCCTTGAACCCTTTTTAAACTGCTTTCTCCAAATATATTTGCCCAGGGTTTGGATCTATGCTTCGTGCACTTGGTGCTCAGATTGAGAAGACAACCAATCGAGAAGCTTGCCGGGACCTCAGTGGAAGGAGGCTACGAGATGTCAACCATGAAAAAGCGTAAGCTGCCCACTGTTAATTTCTTCAAAGACAACAACACACTTTGCTGCCAGTGGTGATTGTACACAGGCCATGCATATTGAAATGTGGACTTAAAAGATTAGCGCTCTAGCTCATTGTTATCGGCCTTAGCTCTCTCTGTAGTTTAATAATTCCTGTCGGGTTTTAGGGGTCCGTCACAGGGCACCTATGATAAGCGTGGCTCACCTTTCTGAAGGAATATCACAGTATGTGCAGGACAATGTGGATTCGTCCAGGGGTGTGGGAGGGGAACTCCTCACATATAAACAAGCATGTGTGTCCAGGGGTGTGGGAGGGGAACTCCTCACATATAAACAAGCTTGTGTGTGATACGTCTGGTCAGTTCCCTGTCTCTCCTGTCCTAGGATGGCTGAGTGGGTGAAACAGCAAGCTGAGCGAGAGGCTGAGAAGGAGCAGAAGCGCTTGGAGCGCCTGCAGCGGAAGCTTGCAGAGCCCAGGCCTTGCTTTACCAGCCGGGCGTACCAGCAGCAATGCCATGAGATGGCTGAACGCTTGGAGGACTCTGTCCTCAAAGGTGAGAGTGATGGTTCCTTGCTGAAGCTACATTGTTGCTGGCTGCATACAAAGGGTACTCCTGGAGTCTCGGGTTACAGACCTCTGAGGAGTGGATGAAAGTCGTGGAACCTCTCCCCTCAGTAATAAACAATATGAGGGCACCCAAGTGGCTTAGTCAGTTGAGCGTCTGACTCTTGGTTTCTGCTCAGGTCATGATCTCAGACTCTGTGCTCAGGGAGTCGGCTTGTTCCTCTCCCTCTGCTCTGCCTCCTGTGTGCACCTGTGCGCGCTCTCTAAAATACAATCTTTCAAAATAATAATAAACAGTATGCCTTATATCCCAGGAAAGAAAGAGCACACACTCACACAGAATGTGATGTATTTGACTCCTGAATTCTAGGGGTGCACAGGCAGGTGAGAACACTTGTGCTAGGTGTTGCCAAGCCTGCAGGAAGTGTTTACACCTCAACATACTTGCATCTAGTTTCAGGTCCATTTTTTTTTTTAGGTCCATTTTTAAAAAATGGTTTTTATTTAATTAAATAATTAATTAATTTTAAAAAGGTTTTATTTATTCATGAAAGACAGAGAGGGGGCAGAGACATACACAGAGGGAGAAGCAGGCTCCCCATGGGGGCCCGATGCGGGACTCGATCCCAGGACCCTAGGATCATGCCCTGGGCCAAAGGCAGACGCTCAACCACTGAGCCACCCAGGCATCCCTAAATGATTTTTAATGAGAATGATTGTTATTAATTTTTATTTAACTTTTATTTAGCATTATGCTAGAGCTCTTGTGGATTCAGTTGAATAATAAGGAATCCTTTCAATCAGAGGTTATGATGTAATAATACACAAGTAGCGAGTACAAAGGGATGGACCATCTGGTTTGGGGAGGCCAGGTATGCACCCATCAGTCTCAGAGCTACAGATTGGGTATTGGTATTTTCTTTTTTTTTTTTTTTTTTTTGGGTATTGGTATTTTCAAAACCTGGTTCCAGAGCCAGAATGCTCATTACTTTGAATCTGTGTAAAATGAAGTTGAATCTCATCTTAGCCATTTTAAATTTTGGTATGTTAAGAAATTTAGAACTGGAGCTTTAGATTGCAATGCAGCTACATTTGTAATCCATACAGTTTATGTCTTTAATCATACTTTCTATAGCGTAACTGAGTTGTGAAAATTTCTGGTTAGGCATGCAGGCTGCCTCCAGCAAGATGGTGTCAGCAGAGACTGGTGAGAGTCGGAAAAGACCCAACAAATCAAAAGCAGACAGAGGAGCCAGAGCAGGGAAAAGGAAGTGCTTTTGGTAAGTGTGCTTCCTTTTCATCCCAAAGAGATTTATGTGGACCGGCACGCTTCCTCTTGCCTATCTGGTGTAAACACTTTTTAAAGTAAGGTTTGATGGGGGGAGCTCAGAAATTTCCAGAGTGCTTTAGTTCTCAGTTCTCCATAGCTGTCACACTGTACACACTACTACTGGTTTCTGCCTTGAGTGCCAGGAATGGAGTCTAAAGGATGTTTTTTTTCTTACAGTGAAAGATCACAGAAAAATCACTTTATCCTTGAATTACTCTCTAGTGTTGAAGGATTTAACTTTCAGAATTTCTAGGTAGAGCCATGGCTGCACTTTTCACTTTCCAGATCGTTTTGTCTTCTCCATGGTTTTTCACAGTTGTTACTGAGGTCTGCGGCCACGGCTAGACCTCTCTCTGACCACTTTTGTACTTGCAGCTGAGAGGCACAATGGCGCCTTTTCTTGGCCATCATTCTGGTAGCGCTCCCGCCCTTCCCACTTGGTTCTCCGGTTACTAGCTCAGTTCCCTTGGGCCAAGTTCTAGAAAATGACCTCCAGATGGATCTTGCTTTCTTGCTGGCCTCTGCTTTGGGGACAGAAAAATAATTATTAATTAAAGATCCTGTAACTGAGAGTCTAGCATAGAATCTTGAAATAGGAAGTAAGTGTTCTTGAGAGAAAAGGTAGTTGGATTGTGTGAGGTTGGGAGAGAGTTAAGTCCAGTTTATTGAGATGTAATTTATGTGCACTAAAATCCATACTTTCTCATTGAAGAGCTCTGTGAGTTTTGAGAAAGACAGTCACATAACCGCCATTAAAATCAAGATACTGAATTTTTCCATTTCACTAACAGTTGCACCTTTGCAGTTAATTCCTGTTCCCCTGCCCCAGCATGCTCTGATACTACTGTGCTATGTGATCTGATAGTTTTGTGTTTTCCAGAATGTCCTACAGCCCTTTGTGTCTGGAGTCTCTCCGCGCAATGCTTTTGAAATCCATGGCTAGTATTATGTCTCAGTACTTTTGTTCCTTTCTGTTCACAAGTATCATAGTGTCTGTTTATCCATCTCCTGTTGATAGTTTGGGTAGTTTCCCATTTGGGGTAATTGTGAACGAAAAAGGATTTTAACGGTTTGTTATTTTAGCTACATTTCTAACAGTTGAGATTTGTACAAGATAGGAAAAAGAGCTTTAGGCAAAATCAGTTTTATATGAAGAGAGTCACAACCTCTGGGGTCCCCAGGTGGCTCAGTTAATTGAACGTCTGCCTTCGGCTCAGGTCATCATCTCAAGGTCCTGATACCTAGCCCCCCGTGGGGTTCCCTGCTTGGCAGGGAGCCTGCTTTTCCCTTTCCCCCTCCCCTGCTTGTGCTTTTTTTTCTCTCTCTCTTAAATAAATAAATACAATCTTAAAAATGAGAGAGATTCACATCTTTATAGAGGAGTCCCTGTTGGATCTTTGGGATGATTGGTTCCAAGCTCACTGAATTTCTTCTCCCCGTTTATACCTCTGAATATCTTTTCCTAAAACTTAGCTCCTTTCCACCTCAAATGAGCAGATACTCTGATGCTGACACAGTCCGTTCCCCAGACAAACCCTGACTGTTCAGCATAGAGGCAGTGGAGTGGTGTTAAGCCTGTGTCGCTTCTGGCAGGTTGGGCATGGATGGACTGCAGACGGCAGAGGAGTCCAGCTCAGAGACCTCGGATGATGATGGGGAAGAAGCTCCTAGTACTTCGGGAATGAGCCCGCAGGCTCTAGACGGCGGCCGCGATGACATGGAGCTGGCAGCCGGGTCCTCCCACCACTGTCCAGGGGCAAGTGTGCCGAGTGCGGCCTCTCGGTCCCTGGAGCCACCGCTGACCCCAGGGACAGGCTCTGGGCATGCTGTCTCTGCAGGCAGGTGTGCCACGTTGGGGCAGAGCTCTGCCGAGGGTCGTGTGGATGAGACGATGGCCGTGGAAACGGAGAAAAGCCAGGAGGAGAGGGGGACAGAAGGTGAAGAGCCCAAGGAAGATGAGGCCGCAGGCCCTGGAGCGACCGGGGAGCTAAAGCAGTTGGAGATGGCTGGCAGGGACAGAGCTGCGGAGGCTGCGCCTGGAGAGGGCAGGGAAAGCGCCCCACTTGCCAGCCTGGAGGGAAGCCAGTCAGGAAGCACAGTAAGTAGTTTGGGGGTCCATGTCCAGAGCCAGGCAGCTTAATGGCTATAGTTCCTCAGTGAGTCCTTAACCCAAAAACGTGCTTTCCCCATCAGCTGCCGAGTGGGCTGGTTTGTTTAATAATCAGAAGTACAGACAAGGGTGAAGCTTGCCTTATCCCCCCAAAAGTCCTTTGGTTTTTTTCCTTTTAAATTTTGAAATGTATGTCATTTTTTGCCTCTAGGTGGCAGCTTTGGTTCCATATTTTATCAGTTCTAAGCCACACATTGATCACGTTTTAATATCTGAATTGGGGTGGATATCTGTAAGAGCTTAATGGGTGTGGTTTACCCACTGAGCAGGGAGCCCAACACAGGGATCGATCCCAGGACCTGGGGATCATGATTGAGCCAAGGCAGATGCTTTACTGCCTGAGCCTCCCAGGAACTGAAAATTCCTTGTCAGATGGAATGTAGTTGACAGCTAAGGAAAGTCTTCAAGAGGAAGAGCCTGTTTTGAATATTTTCTTTCTTTTTTTTTTTTCCTCTCTCAGGATCCCGGTCAGGACACGATTGATCTGCTGGCATTCAGCTCTGTAGCTGAGATGGAGGCACTGGGTTTGGACAGGCTCAAGTGTGAACTGATGGCCCTGGGACTGAAATGTGGGGGCACCCTGCAGGAGCGGGCAGCGAGACTCTTCTCTGTCAGGGGACTGACAAGGGAACAGATTGACCCTGCTCTGTTCGCCAAGCCTTTGAAGGGGAAGAAGAAATGAGTTTTATCGGAGCTGGTTTCCTATGTGTTTATAGTCTAGCATTTGTAGCCTGCATAATGTTGACTCTTGGCCATTATTCAGCTGATATTAAAGCTGACTTTTTAATGACCCAGTTCTGACTATCTTTTTCATTATTGTATTTATGGAGTTAATGTGTGAAACCATCTGGGCCTGCAGTTTTCTTTGTGGGATTTTTTTTTTATAACAGATTTAATTTAATAAATATAGGGGTATTCAGATTTTTGCTTTCGTCATGTGCGATTTAGGGGAAGTTATACAGTTGCCCCTTGAACATCACCAGTTAGAACAACTGGTTAGCAGGAGTCCACTTACATGGATTTTTTTTTTGTTTGTTTTCAAGAAATACAGTATGGTACTGTCAGTGTTTGTGGTTTTCTCAATAATGTTTTCTTTTGTCTAGTTCACTTTCTTGTAAGAACGCAATATATAATACATAGAACACAGAGAATATGTGTTTGACTTGATGTCATCACTTGGGCTCCCAGGGCACAGTCACCTCTTCATAGTTACATTTTTGGGGGCGTCAGAAGTCACAGATTTTTGGCTGCTCGGGGATTGATGCCTCTAACTCTCACGTTGTTGAAAGGTCAGCTAAATTTTTGAGAAGTGTATTCGTTTGATCCCAGTTGTTAGGTTTGCGGACATAAGGTGATTCACAGGTGTCCCTCATTCTTGTAGCATCTTTGGGAGCTGTGGTGCTAACTGCTTTTTCATTCTGGGACCGGTAGTTGCTGTTTGTTCTTTTCCCCAATGAGTCTAGCCAGGGGTGTATTGGTTTTGTTGATCTGATTTTCAAAGAACTGACTTTTGGCTTTGTTCATTTTTCTCAACTTTTGCAGTTTCATTGATTTCTGCTCTTTATCATTAACTTTCTTCTACTTAGTGCAGATTTACTTTGCTCTTTTCTTTAGCTTAAGATAGGTTATAGGTCATGATATTGACTTTTTTCTAATACAAGTATTTAAAGTTATACATTTTTCTTTAAGCACTGCTTTAGCTGCATCTCAAAAAATTTTAGTATGTTGTGTCTTCATGAACAGTTGTAAATGTTTCCTAATTTCCTTGTGAATTCTTCCTTGACCCATGGGTCGATTATCTAGAAGTATTGGCCTAATTAGCAGATGTCTGTTTTTTTTTTTCCCTAAATATCTTGTTATTGATAGTTTAATTCTATCAACGTTAGAGAATATGTTTATGATTTCAGTCTTTTTAGTTTTATTGAGACTCCTAATATGACCTGTATGCGTATGATTTGCTTTGGTGAGTGTTCCACATTCACCTGAAAAGAATATGTATTCTGAAACATTGGGTGAATTTGTTCTGTAAAACAGGTTATGTGATTAATACAACTGTTGTTCACATCTGTGTCTTCATGGATCTTTTGTGTCTTTCAGGTTTTACATGTTGTTAAAATCTATTATGATTGTGCAATTATCTGTTTTTTTAATTGTATCAATTTTGCTTCATTTTTGAAGGCCTGTTACTAGGTTATGTCATGTCCTCCCTAATAAATTGACCACTTTATTCTTACAAAATTTCCCTCTTTATCTCTGCTAATACCTTTTGTGTCCAGTTCTCTTGTATCTGATGTGAATTGGAGCCTCTCCACCCTTGTAATGCATCCTGTGTGCATGAGACACTACTTTTCTGCCTCTCTGGTGTCTTTCTACTTAAAGTAAGTGGAATTTTTATACACAGTGCAAACTTGGATCTTACTTTTTTTTTTTTTTTTTAAGATTTTATTTATTCATGAGACACAGAGAGAGGCAGAGACACAGCAGAGGGAGAAGCAGGCTCCATGCAGGGAGCCTGACATGGGATTCTATCCCGGGTCTCCAGGATCATGCCCTGGGCTGCAGGCGGCGCTAAACCACTGCGCCACCGGGGCTACCCAGGATTTTACACTTTTTTTTTTAAAATATTGATTTATTTATTTATGATAGACATAGAGAGAAAGAGAGGCAGAGATTCAGGAGGAGGGAGAAGCAGGCTCCATGCCGGGAGCCTGATGCAGGACTCGATCCCGGGACTCCAGGATTGTGCCCTGGGCCAAAGGCAGGCGCCAAGCCGCTGAGCCACCCAGGGATCCCCGGATTTTGCACTTTTATCTGTTCTGACAGACTCCACCTTTTCATTAGCCTTAGCTGTGATTATTGGCATAGTCAGATTTAGGTTTATCATTTTATTGTTTTTCTGTTTGGATTGGAATTACATTTTAATTGATTGCCTTTTTAGGTGACCTGTCTTTGCACGATTTTTTTGTGGATGCTCTGGGAGTTATATTCATTCTCAGTTTTTTCTACCTAGAGTTACTGTACCACTTCACATAAAACAGAAATTTTGCAACACCATAGGTCCATTTACCATTCCTGTCGTTTATGGTCTTGTTTTTATATATATTAAACTATATTCCTTATAAGCCCTTTAATATGTTGTAATTTCTATACTTAATCATACATATTTAAAGGAAATTAAGAGGAAGAGGGGCATCTGGGTGGCTTGGTTGGGCGTCTGGCTCTTTGTTTCAGCTCAGATTGTGATCTCAAAGTCATGAAATCAAGCCCTGTGTCAGGGGTTCTGTGCTGGGTGTGGAGTCTGCTTGAGGTTGTCTCTGCCTCTCTGAAGAAAAAAGGCCACAGGTTATTTCTAGGTGAGGTCTCTTCCTTAATAGTTCTTGGTATTGGGTGGCCCTTTTGAGGTATGAAGACTGGCCTTTTTATTTTAGGGCATTATTCTATTATTTGATTGTTGCTCTGTTCCCAACTTGAGTCTTATCTCATATCCAGTCTGCCATTTGCCACTTTTTGTGTGCTCATCAATTCAACAATTAGGTTTTTCCTGTAGAAAAATCTTTCTCAGATTGGACCTGGTCGTGCTGGCTTGCTTTAATCTTAGAAACGTGCGTATGCACGCCGGGCTCAGCATATCTCCTGTTTCTTCGTGGGAACACATTTCCTCTGATCCCTCGAGTTGATTTCTCTACAAATACTTATTTTTTCAGGATGTCCACCTGTGCACAATTAAGGGTCTAGGAAGAGATTCACTGGGGACTGGTGTGAGAGGCGGGCTCCCATGGAAGGCCAGAGGAGAAAGAAGGATAGTGTAGGCAGAGTCCCAGACTGCAGTGCCTTCCAAGGAATGTTCGTCCAGGCGGATAAAGGACCCTCCAGCTGAAGTCACCCATCAGAATCCAGCATCTCACCAGCTAGGCCTTTGTGCCACCACAATGCTAACTGGCTAGAAAGCATCACCCGCAGGAAGTGTGGCCTGGGTGTGAGCCTGGGGGACCCACAAGGACATCTGTCACTTGGGCTCCCACGGGGAGGGAATCTGCTATATGCTTGTGGTGGTGGGGTTTTCCCGTTGCTTAGGGAGCATGAGTTTTCTAGTTGTGGTTGAAATGGTTTTCCTCACATCACGTTGGCATGTGTACATCTGGAGCACCCTCAGAGCGGGAAGGAGATAATTGAGACTAACCAGGGGTTTCCTTTGTCAGATCAGAGGTGCTTTCACTTGGGGGTGGTTCAGGCAGCTGGCGCTGAAGCTTTCTTTCCTCTTTTTTTTTTTTTTTAAGATTATTTATTCATGAGAGATACCGAAAAAGAGAGAGAGAGAGAGAGAGAGAGAGAGAGAGAGAGAGAGAGAGAGAGAGAGAAAAGCAGGCTCCATGCAGGGAGCCTGATATGAGATTTGATCCTGGGACTCCAGGATCACGCTCTGGGCCAAAGGCAGGTGCTAAACCACTGAGCCACCCAGGGATCCCCTGAAGCTTTCTTTCCTGAATGGCTGCGTGAGGTTGGCTGGGGCGTCCTTCCCTGACCGCAGGGCCATCCCAGCAGCTCATCGGCGCCACAGACCTGGTCTTGCAAAGCGAGAAGACCCTGATTCTGAAATTGCCCCTTCCTGGGCGAGTGAAAGGCTGGAGGCCAGGGGGTTTGTGGTGAAGGGCCAGGTCGCCTTCTTGCCCTCACAGCCCTGGGTGGAGATGCCCATGGGCTGCTCCTTAGCCCCCCTTCACCTGCATGCTCTGTGAGAGAACCTCCTGGCAACATTCTGTCGATCAATTCAAGGGGACTCGGCAAGAGGGAGGCTTTCACCTTCCACGTGCTGAGATTACCACGGCGGACCGGCGGGTTAATGGGTTTTCAAGATCGGAAGTGCCTTTGAAAGCTCAGTAACCTAATACCAGCTATAGGTTTGAGGCTGGCTCTGATTAGACCCAAGAAGGTACCACATGTTGAGCTCCTGGCAAGGTACTCACTTGTCTGAACAGGAACACGGCGAAGGGTACCGTGGAATCCAGGTGGCCACTCTCAGCCGCCAGCCCCTCACCCTATTTCTGGACAGAAGTCTGGTTCAGGCCATGCCAGTCTACTCTTGGACATGGACACTTTGATGTCAGATTCAAAAAATGCCTCTTGGTGTTAACACACTTTTCATTCATCTCCAGCTTTTTCATTACATCTCCAGTAATTTACTAATAAATTACTAATGGTGCGCTGTGAAATGAGCCCACATCCAAATCATTCATGCATGATTGCTTCAGGGTCACCCTGAGAATCTGGGGCCTGAGCCACATGGGTTTGTGGGTTGAATGGAAGCATTTGCAGTGACATAAAATGAACAGTTTTCCCTGCAATACAGGCCATGTTGTGTGGTGGGCTTCAGGGCACAATCACCGATCTGGGTCCAAATCCTGCTCTTCCACTTTCTAGCAGTATTTCCTCAGGTAACTTGCATAGCCTTCCTGAGCATTGGTTCCCTAAGCCTACCAGGAGAAGAGGTCATATCTGTTCTAGGCTTCTGAGGATGAAAGAATATGGTAGGTAAGGCCCCAGACATAGTGCTGGGCAGCTGTGGTTACTCAATAAACAGAAGCTGTTGGAGTGTTCTGGAGAGCACCATTGTCTGACAGAAATGCCACGTGAGCCACAAGTGGATCAGAAATCTTCCCATAGTCACATGAAACAGGAAAAAGGAACAGAGGAGGGGTGCTGGGTAGCTCAGTCAGTTAGGTGTCTGACTCTTGGTTTTGGCTCAGGTCGTGATCTTGGGGTCCTGAGATTGAACCCCAAGTGGGGCTCCCTGCTC